TTCAAGCTCCCTCGCACGGTACTCTCTGTAACAGAAGTTAACTTCTTGTCTGCAATGGTCAGAGCTCTGGACTTGGAGTCAGGAAACCACGGGTTTGAAACCTGTCACCTGAGCAAGTCACTCAATCCCTCCCCACCTCAGTTTCCTCACTAGTAAAATGTTGTTAGGGGCAGCTATGTGGTGCCGTGGATTGGTAGAACACTGGGCCTGGAGTCAGGAAGACTCATCTTTCTAAGTTCAAATCTGGTCTTGGACACTTTACTAGCTCTGTGTGACCTTGGACAAGTCACTGTATCCTGTTTGCCTCAGCTTCCTCATCTGTAAAATGAGCTGGAGAAGGAAATGGCAAACCCCTCCACAGTCTGTGCCAAGAAAACCCCAAATGGGGTCATGAAGAATCAGACACAAATGAAACAACAAAATGACAGGTTAAACTCCACAATCTCTTAATGTCCTTTCTAGCTCGAAAGTCTCAGATACCTAAATTATAGGAACCACATAACAGAAGAGCCAACTTCATAGAGCAGTTGCAAGAAAATGTGTCTGAAGTATTTCATATGGTGAACTGATCCAATCATTCAGGACAGCAATTTGGAGCTATGCCCAAAAGGGCTATAAAACTGCATACCCTTTGACCCAGCCATATCACTAGTAGGACTATATTCCAAAGAGATTATTTTTAAAAAAAAAGGAAAAGGAAAAGGAAAATGACCTACATGTATAAAAATAGTTATAGCAGTTCTTTTAGTGGTGGCAAAGAATTAGAAATTAAAGGGAATGGCTGAACAAGTTACTGTATATGATTATGTTGGCATTGTGATATAAGAAATGACACGCCAGATGCCATCAGAAAAAACGTGGACTTACATGAACTGATGCAAAGTCAAATGAGCTGAACCAGGAGAATATTGTATATAGTAAGAGAAATATTGATAATGACCAACTGTGAATGACTTAGCTATTCTCATCAATACAAAGATCCAAGACAATAATGAAGAACTTGGGATGGGATGAAAAATGCTACCTATCTCCAGAGAAAGAACTAACTGCATCTGAATGCCCATCAGAGCATATTTTTTTCTTTGCTTTCTTTATTATCATTGGGGTTGTTTTGTCTGTGTTTTCTTTAACGGCATGACTAACATGGAAATGTTTTGCATTACTACACATGTATAACTCACATCAAATTGCTTGCTTCTCAGTGAGGGACAGGGGTTAAGGAAAGAATGTGGAACTCAAAAATTTTAAAAACAAATGTTAAAAATTGCTTTCCCATGTAACTGGGGGGGAAATGAAATATTAAATTAAAAATAAAATAAGATACTTCACAAACCTTAATGCCCCTTATAAATGTCAGCTACTATTTTCACGATTCATCTTCACCACACTCCTCATTCACTCACCACCAAGGCAGCATTGCCAGGAAGTCTTTTGTGATGTAGGGAAACAAGGAGTGATGACATTTCCTGATGTCATATTGATTTTGGCCTTTACAAAACACTTTCTACACAGTTGAGTGAGGTGGGTGGTGCATCCACTTCCACAACAATTTCCTTGCAAAACTGAAATAAATTAGGGTGTTTACAGGGAGGGCAGGGAAACAGGTGGTAAGGAAGAGTTACTACTCCCAGAGAGTGGGACCTAGGCTCATCCTTTGTACTTGGGGGAGGCTGGAAATAAGTCCTCAATATATGTTTGCTCTCAATGATGAATTGTCAGTTAACTGGTCATTGTGAGTCATCTCAGTGATACTGGAACATTTCAGGTTGCATATACCCTTTGAGTGGCAATGACACTGATATGTGCACAAAGGACGTGGACAAGACACACCCAGCTCTATCAGATTCTCGTTGAATCCTTCTAGGCAAAGTCCATGGGCTTGGAAAGGGTCCAATTCTCCATGCCAAGGCATAATATTGCCAAGTCAGTCAGAGTAAAGAGTTCACACACTGCAACCAAGAGGACAGTCCTGCTCTGCCCAACAAGATTGTAAACTCCCAAAGGGAACAAAATACCACAAATGATACTTCTTTTCTATCTCCCAGCAACGCTCCACACCCAAAAGGTGTTGTCATGGACAGAGAGGAAGAGGTATTGCCAGGGCTGACTGAGTTGAGCAAGGAGGGTATCTTTCCTTCCAGGCATGGCCTCTTGAGGAGAGAAGTGGTTCTTCCTTTCAGAAATCATGGCCATGGGGACAGCTAGGTGGCATAGTGGATAGAGAACTGGCCCTCAAGTCAGGAGGACCTGAGTTCAAATTCTGACTCAGACACCTAACACTTACTAGCTGTGTGACCCTGGGCAAGTCACTTAACCCCAACTGCCTCACCAAAAATAAAGGAATCATGGCCATTGGAGTGCTGGCAGTTATTAAAAGGGCCCTTCTTCTGCCAAATTCTGTGGATTCAGGGAATCTGCCTGAGGACCTGAAAGCAGGAGTGGACACCAGTACCTTTGAATGGTACCTGAGATCACCAATCATCAATTATTGACTTAGTATCTACCCTCTGCCTAGCACTATGAAAACAAGGTAGACTGGGGAGAACAGCCAGCCTGGCTAGAATAGAAAACTGACACCGAATGAGGATGAACACTCCCCTTCCATCTACTCCCCAGGCCATCAGAAGACACCCTCATCACTGCCTACTAATTAACCAACCAACAAACATTTTTTAAGCATATATAGCGTGCCAGGCACATGCTAGATGCTGGAAGAATGAATTTCATTACTGGAAAGGAGTTTACATTCTATCAACTGGTAAATAACAGTCTCTAATCCTGGGACTAACCCAGTTCCTCCAAAGTTTGGGACTAATCTAGTTTCCTCAGTAGGACTTCCAGCTCTTTGAAAGTCATCTAGCTCAATCCCACTAACTTTGCCAGGAGAAGAAGCCAGAATCCTAGCAAAGCTAGGGATCTTTCTCTGGGTCATGAGGCTAATGGGTAGCAAGGAAAAAAAGCAGACATCCTCTGACTGGCAGTCCCAAGTAAGTCAACATTCTTTTAAGTGATATTAGGAGGTGTGGAATATTCACAATGAGAAAGATGATAACCTCTACCCTGGCCTGACACATCTGGAGAATACTATTCTCAGTTCTGGCCTCCACATTCGAGGATGAGCATGAAACTATCTAGAAACACATCCAGAAGTAGGTAACCAGGATGGTTTGAGGGCTGGAGACAGTATTGTACAAGGGTTGGAGGAACTGGGGATATTTAGCCTAGAGAGGGGAAAACTTGGGAGGGCAACATGAGGGCATGCTCTCCTGACATGTAGACAGACAAGACTTGTTCTGCTTGGCTCCAGAGATCAGAACTGAGGGCAATGCCTACGTCCCAAGGAGGCCTATTTTGGCTCCGTATGGATGACTCCCTGGCAGTTAGAGCTGTCCAGAGGTGGAGTGGACAGACTGCCCTGGGAAGCAGTGGGCTCTCCTCTCTTGAGGTCTTTGAGTGCAGGATAAGTGAACACCTGTTAAAGACATCAGGGACCTAGCTCCTGGTCAGGACTGGTTTGGACAAGATGGCTGCCTTCTATAACAATCTATAACTCCCTAACACTTGAGCCTCTGGCCTTGCTGAGTTGCTTACTTCTGCAGTCATATACTCACTTCTTCCCAGCATCCCACATCTGTCTTCACTTGGTTGTGAGCCCAGGGGGTTTACTCTCTTAAAGGGGACCTCTCCTACGTGGGCATCCAATAAATGACCCAGGTAACTTTGTATAAAAACGAAGGTGCTGCCTTTGGACTAGTCCTGTGTGGTCCTAGTCTTTAGATCTAGGTGCCCAAAAGGTATGATTCCAATGTCCCCTCCCTCAAAAAAGGAAAAAAAAAGTACCACCCCAAAATTCTACTCTTAGAACTTTATTCTTTTAGCTTATTAATCAACCAACCAACAACTATTCAGTCAGGGCCTATTCTGTGCTCAGAAATGTTGGGCCCACAGGGGAGCTCCCTAACTAGGCGCTAGGATATGTGTGTACATATATACACATATATGTATGTATATATACATAGGTACATATATATATGTACATGTGCGTATACACATACATACAAGGATAAGACTACCACATATGAGAGAGGTAGCCATGATGCAGTAGACAGAGAATTGGCCCTCTAACATACACTGGCTGGATGACCAATTCCAGGCAAGACACTTGGCCTCTCAGTGCCTCACAGAACTCCATAAGCCTATAAGTTAGCTGCAAAGCAGATGTCAGTATGCATTGGTAGAAGGTATTTTTCTCACTGGGAATTCCTCATACAGATGAAACCACAAACCCAGCCCAAAAAAATTAGTGTGTAAGTTCTAATTGGGTGATATAGACAAAAGCAATTCAGAGAAAAATACTCTGCTGATTCTGAGGTCAGAAGAAGGTCTGAGTCCTGGTTCTGATACTCATTCACTGTGTTATTCCGAGCCAGTCATTTAACCTCTGAACCAGCAAGCTTTCCATCTTTCCTTCCTTCTTTCCTCTGTCTCCCTTGTCACCCAGGCTGCAGCAGGTGTTCCTGAGCCTGACCCACTTTGGACCAGCACAGAAGCTGTTCCGTTCCCACCCTGGGCTGCCCAAGAGCCTCCCATTCCTGAAATCTCACCATCTGGGTGCCAAGTTAGTGCCGATCCCTAGGTGGCTTTAGTCCAATGGCAGCTCTGAACTTCAGTGAATGCCCCCTACACAACAGGGATTACAAGCGTGTGTGTGCGTGTGTGTGCACTGCTACACCCAGACAGCTTCCTCAAATCTGCCAACTGGAGGTCTGCATCATTGCAAAGCTTTCTCTATCCGCCTTCAAGTGCTTTATAACTGTTAGTTATTATTAATAAGAATAGGATCTTTATCAGTCCTTTAGTATTGGAACATAGGGTTTGATAGGGAAAAATGAGGATACCGGGCTCCTAATGAGAGGCAAAGATGAAAAATGTCATCCCAAAAACACAGAAAAGGGAAGCTGGCCCTGGAAGGACAGAAAGCTTGACTTTTTTTGTTGTTCAAACCTGTTATTTCTTTGTCACAGAAACTTCCAGAAACTGAGGTAGATCAGTGGTTAACTCGGTTATCAGTCTGGAATTGCCTGGGAGGCTGCTGGCTTCACAGCCAGTGGGTATCAGAAGCAGGACCTGAATGTGACTCTTCCTGATTCCAAGACCTCAGGCATATCCACTGGGACTCCAGGTGTCAGATCTCTAGTAGCTGCTAATTATCAATGGAATGGGCTGCCTGGGGGGCAGGGAGGGAATTCGAAGACAAGTACTACAAGACAATTTTTCCTCATTGTGGAAATCTTTCTTCCAGGAACATCTTCCATCTTAGTTTCTCCATCTGGGCCTGGAGTTCCCTGGAGTACTTGGGATAAGGAGGAGCAGACTCTAATCTCGGGATCCCCCAGGTAGACCCCTGGGAGGGTGTGCAAATAGCATGCTAAAAACAGCCCATGAAGCACCAGGCCAGAGGTAAGATAAAGCCCTTCTGTACCAGCTTTGTCCCACCCCCAAGGTATGGGCGTCATAGGTGCCACATAAAACCAGAGCTCGAGCTCCTGGTGGCAGTCTACCAGCCTGGTCCTTTTTTTTTTCCCTAAGCACTTAAACAAGAACTCTATTGAGTGTGGCAGTTAAACTGACATGAAACTTTCCACCCACAGAATAGCTCTGTCAATCACCAGCCAGGCCAGGCTCTGAGCCCTGGTTTGTAAGATCCCATTGGCCGCCAGCTGTGCTCAGCAACGGCAGCATCCGGCTGGAGAGAAATTCTGCTTGGGCCCTGTCACTTCACTATTATCACTTTAATCTCTAGCATCCTCAAAAGCTCTCCTTAAAAACATAAATATCTCAAGGATAAGAGCTAGCATTTTAGTTCCAACAACTGTAGAGCTGAGAGCTCCACAGGCTAGGATACTGGTCTCCAAACTCTCCATTCCATGACTTCCCACCACATATCTGTCTGTCTGTCTGTCTGTCTCTCTCTCACACACACACACACACACACACACACACACACACACACTCAGGATTAAGTGACTTGCCCAGGGTCACACAGGTAGTAAGTGCCTGAGGCTGGATTTAAACTCAGGCCCCCCTAACTCCAGGGCTGGTGCTCTATCCACTGTGCCATGTATCATTTAATACCATATTCTCAGTTAACACAGAATCGCAGACTTGACAGTCGGAAGGCAGCTCAGCAGCCATCTATCCCAAGCAACACACACAAGAGATTCCTGATCGAAGATACTGGCCAAGTGGACAGTCACCCAGCTTTCTTGAAGGCTTCCAAGGAAGGGGAAACCCCCACTTTCTGCAGCAGCCCAGGGCACTCTGGGTCAGCTCTTACTGTTAGGAAGCCAAGCCTCAACTGCCCTTTCCGAACATTTGATCCACTGCTTTTGATCTGTCCCCTGGAGGCCCAGGAGAACAAATATAATGGCTCACCCACTCCTCAGTTCTTCAGATACTTGAATATAACAAATGTGTACCATCCTTCTCCTCCAAAATGTCCCTAAGTATTTTCTTCTTCAGGCTAAAAACCCATGGCTCCTTCAATGCATTCTCCTAGGACGAAGACCTGAGGTGAGCAGACCTGAGGCCCTTCACCTCGCTCCACTCCTTCTGTTCCTCCAGAGGCTCTCTAACTAATCAGTGTTGTATCATTCAACTGTGATACCTACAACTGAATACAACACTCAGGGTAGGAGAGCTGAGGGTGGAGAGCTTTGCCAAAGTAGGGATTATATAGCAGTCAGCTGGGAAGAAGAAAGGAACACAGTATTGGCCTGAGGTTTGGGAAGGCAGCTGTAGTAACAAAAAGAACACTTGGGCTTAGAAGACCTGGGTTCAAATCTCAGGCCTGCTACTTACAACCTCTACGGCCTTTGGGCATGTCACATAAATTCAACAAATATTGAACCCCTATCACATGCAAGTTGGAGGATGTAGATTTTTTAAAAAAAAAATCATAGTCTCTGTATGTTTAAGCTCTCAAGGAACTTAAAATTCAGTTGGGAAGAGATGTAAAGGAGGTAGAAATGATACTTCTGCACAGATGAAGTATGATTATAGGGCAGGGCAGGAAAGGAGCAAAGGAGAATTGTAAAGTAAACACTTTTAGCTAAAAGGTTCACAGGGCAAGCTTAATGGAGGTGGGAGTGCCTGAGCTAGGCCTTGAAAGAAGAGTAGGATTTGGAAAGGCAGACAGAAGAGCAGATTCCAGGCACAGGGAATGACCTTTTGGACTGGGCAGGGCTGGAAGATGTCATGCAGAGTTCAGGAAACAGTCCAATTTGGCTGGAATAAAGACTCACGAAAGCAGAGTGATAAGAAGGCCCAAAAGCAGGTTTGGAGCCAGACTGGGGAGGGCTGAGAAGTGACATGGTCAGAGCCATCCCTCCAGGCTGGGTCAGCAGCAATTTGATGGATGGATTGGAGAAACTGGAGGGACTGGAGCAATGACGAGGTTATCTCCACAGTTTAGGCTAGCAGTAATGAAGGCCTGACACTATGGGGGTGGAAGTCACCAAAGTGAGTGTAAGCTCTTTGAGCTCAGGAGCTGTTCGGTTTTTGTCTTTGTATCTCCTGTTCCCAGCATGTGCCTGGCATACAATAGGCATCCAATAAATGCTCTATCATTAATGACAAACTTTCTCTACTTCACAATATAGCTGACAATGACTGGATCTACTTCTGAACTTTCTTCCTTGGACACCAAATGAATTCTTGATCATCTGAGGCAATGGGGGTAGGAAGGAGGTTAACAGAAAACCTGTTTATCCAGCTGTGAAGGGGTCATGCCAGACTTGGGTTAAAAAGACTTGAAAGCCTAGAAGGCAAAGAGGTACATGATAAATGTAAAGAACGGAGCAAATATGGCAGGTGTCCCTCAGGGATATCCTACTCAATTCCATAAGCTTTCATTGAGAATGTATCTCTACCATTTCCATTGGTGATTGCATTCATAAAGGGAGTACTATAAGGTCTGCAAAGTTCTTTACAAATACAATCTCAATCCAGCCACACAAATACCCTGGGTTTTGTTATTCTTGAGTCATTTCAGTCATGTCCAACTCTTCTTCATGACCCTATTTCGGGGTTTTCTTAGCAAAGATACTGGAGTGGTTTGCCATTCCCTCTCTAGCAAATACCCTGAGAGGGAGGTGCTGTTATTATCCCCATTTTATAGATGGGGAAAGTGAGGCAGGAGAAGGTTAAATGACTTATCCAAGGTAACAGCTAGGAAATGTCTGAGGTGAGATTTGAACTCAAGTCTTCCTGACTCCACAGCTCCTGACTTCTATCTACTACATTACTTAGCTAACTACCTGATTTTATGCAGTGTCCTACTCAAGCAATTCAAAAAACAACTAAGACCCCACCCTCACGGAGTTTACCTTTTGATAGGGGAAAAGAGCAAAATACACAAGTAATTATGAGGAAGTCCACAGTTAAGTGCCATCAGACAGTTACAAAATCCCCATGGGAATCCAGAGGAAAATCATCAAAGGAATCATGGAGGAAGTGGTATTGGAACTAAACCACAAAGGATGGGAACTTCTTTATGGTAGGTGGGGACAGGCAGGAAGAATTCCAAGTGAAAGGTCAAAATGTAAAAAAAACCAAGATGGCGGGAAGGGCATATTTTGAGAGCATCAAGAAGTCTTTAAGTATACAGTGTATGTAGAAGAGTAGTATAGGAAAAAGTAAACTGAGGTAAGCTTATAAAGGACCTTAAATGTCAGGCTGAGGAATTCTAGCAGTGTCTATGCTATCCGTAAGGCATTTTGTCAAGTCTGCCCTGTACCTTAGGGTTGTATTATTATTATATTAGATAAGGGTAGCTAGGTGGCACAGTGGATAGAGCACCAGCCCTGGATTCAGGAAGACCTGAGTTCAAATACGGCCTCACAGACATAACACTTACTAGCTGTGTGACCCTGGGCAAGTCACTTAATCCCACTGCCTAGCCAAAAAACGAAACAAAACAAAATTATACTAGATGACCTCAGTCATCTAATCCAACACTTAAGCCATCACAAACACACACACAGAGAGTACTTTTCTTATGTCTCTACAATGGTATTGAGACTTTCTCCAGTATTCTTCTTCATGTACACAGAGTATCTTACTCGCCTTCTCTACCAGCCTAAGGGGAGTAAGGGAAGAAGGGAAGACATTTTATCCTGGTTTATCCCAAAAGACTTAGAACAGTGCTTGTCCTCGGCAGATATTTAGTAAATATTGACTGAATATAAATAAGCACAGGATATAACACTACTCCTACCGAACAGCTTAACCACCATTTTAAGGCAGCCTTTATTGTCATTTCAGCCATGGTGACTCCGTCGTGACCCCATTTGGGGCTTTTCCTGACAAAGACACTGGAAGGGTTTGCCATTTCCTTCTCCTGCAGATAAGGAGCTGAGGCAAAAAGGGGTAAGTGACTTGCCCAGGGTCACCCAGTTAGTAAGTGTGTGAGTCCTGATTTGACCTCATAAAGATCAGTCTTCCTGATTCCAATCCCAGTGTTCCATACACTGCAAGATACAGCAAGAGCTTAATAAATGATACAAATGTTAAGAAAAAAGCAGGGATTCAACTGAGAAATTGAGCTGGGGTCATGAAGAAAGGCTTCACTGAGTTCCAAGTATTGGTCCTAAGACCAGATTTGGAGCTGGAAGGTGCCTAATGTCACCCCTTCATTTTATACACCCCCAGTAGGTGCTATACCAGGCTGTCTGTTTTTCCTACCATCTACCCCATCAGATGGAAAGCACCGTGAGGCCAGAATCTTATTCCTAAAAAGCCTTGAGACCAGGGCTGGGCTAGAATTTTTGTGGATTATATTTGGTCAGATATCTGATACTCGTTAAATAGAAGATAGCAAAATGTGTCAGTGAAGTCAACTATACAAGAGGACCCACATTGTTTTCTCTCTGGTTCCCCCCCCCAGCTCCAGACTTTCCAGATTTCTTTTTCTCCACCATCCTCCCACCTTCTCCCTCTCCCCTCACTTGTGATCTTCCATTAGAATGTAAATTCAAGGGCAGGCATTCTTTCTTTTTGCTTTTTTTCCCCTTTCTCCTTCAAACACAGATTAGCTCATTTTAAGCACCAGATAAATACTTGGTGACTTGACCTGCCCAACACTGGGCACCTTTGGGGTTCCTTCTCTCCAGCCCTGCCATTTTGTTTTTCAGATGCACCAAAGTTCCTGATGACCTTCACCCCTTGCCCCAAAAAGAATTTGGGTCCCATTTATCCAACAGATTCTTCCTTGAAATTCTCCCTGAATTCATCTGCTTGATCAAGGAAGTCTCCGGAGGTACCCGGAGGCTATAATCCTATCAATTGGCCTTTCATTTTCACCTCTGCCCAATCTCCCAATTCGGTTAACCCTAACCTAGCCCAGACCTCCACTGTCTATCACCTCCTGATGGCCCCTGGCTACTCCCACCCTAGACCCTATCTAGACACCATTCTGGACCTCCCAGTCACTCCCATCAAGACCCTTCCATAGTCTTTCTGTATATAAGGTTCATCTGGCCTCCATTAAGGTACTCAAATTCCTTAAAAACCTAGCCAATAGCTCACAAATGTTCAGATTCCTAAAGAGTCTGGCCAATATGACGGATTTTTAATAAACCTTATCTTTGGCTGAAAGAAGGCTTGGGTCAAATTCATTTAGGCAGGACCTGCCTGTCGTGATTTTGGGGTCCCAGCACCTTTCAACCTCTAGACCTCAACGCGGGGCATCTTTGTGCCCAACTCTGGGTAATTTCATTCAACAAACACTTAAGAAGTATCTACTTTAGTCCATGACCTTGGAAATAATAACAGCAGCTAACATTTATAAATGGCTTACTATGTGCTAAGCCCTGTGCCTCATTTATCTCTTTTGATCCTAATTACAACCTTGGGAGGTAAGTGCTTTTATCACCCCCATTTTACAGATGAGCAAACTGACTTGCCCAGGGTCTGAGGCTGGTTTTGAATTCTGGTCTCCCATACTCTAGCCCTTCCTCCCCCCATCCAGTGCCAGTCACCAGCTACTTTGGTGGAGGGAGAAGAGCTAAATTATATCTCCTCTGTCGGCGGCCAAAATGGAGCTTTTTAGAGACCTATCTTCTCCCCTCTAGCTGTCAACATTTGCTCAAAAGTTCAAGTTGTCCTTTTTTTTTACCGGGATACTTCTCAGATAAACGTGGTTAAGGGGCCTGGGGGAAACAACCAAAACCACAGTTCCCAGCAGCCTCTAACCTTGGATACTTCCCCCTCTTACAGCTGGACCTGAGCAGCTGGGAGCCCATGAACAGGTGTTAACCAACGCTTCCTTTCAGCAAACCTCGTTGTTCCCAACAGCTTGAAACAACTACCTCCCCTGGGGGGCTCCCTGCTATACTGACAACTGCGCCATCCCCCCCTTCCCAAGGAATAATCTAATTTTTTTCTCCTTCTAATGGGAAAACAAGGAGCAATACAAGGTGGGCTAAGACAAAGCAAACAGGGTACCCCAAATGTTTCCCAAACCTAAAGCGTCCACAGCAAGTAAACAGCCCGATGTTACCAGCTCACAGCTAGCAGCACCTGGTCTCCTTACCTGGTGGGAGCCAAAGAAAGCTGAAGGCAGCCCTCTGGACCTCTAAGGCCACCCTTGCTTGGCCATCGCGCCTAGACGCCGGGATGGCCTTTCCTGCTCACTCGACAGCGCGCTCTGCAACACACCAGCGCCTACAACCAGTTGGCTCAGGTGGTTAAGGGCTAACGGTCGTGAGTTCTAGTCTCAGGTGGCTTTCACTTTGTCCCCCAGCCCTAAACAGTCATTTCTCCAAGGCCTGGGGGT